TGGCGGGCCTGGGCTGGATTTGAACCCGCCACCTTAGGTGTATGTGGCTGGCACCTTAGCCAATTGAGCCACAGGCGCCGAGCCAAGAGCAATGTCTTGTTTGTTTTACTGATTTTGGAGTTCAGTCATTCAGGGATATTAATTCTTGGGCCTGGCCCTGGTCTTTGTGCTGCTGCAAAAGATGACAGTTTCTCCATATATAACCAAAAAGATTCTCTGTCTTTCAACTGTTGTTCACCATCAGCTGTCTGTTATTTTTCTTAAGAGTCTGAGGGGTGCTAAGTAATAGCTATCCAATATGCTCATCCTCCCATATGTGAAATGCTTGATACTTCACCCCCAAGTGTATCCCATTTCATAACTTACCCTCCTACTTCACTATTAGTGACTCAGCCTTGAACTCCATCTATATCACCTGCTTTAACTGCTGCAGAATGGTTTCTGTGGAGGCAGATGCTGAAATGGAGTCTGGGATACAAGACATTTATTTGGTACCAACACCTGTGAAAGGAATGGGAAGGAAGCAGGATTGGGCAGAGGAAGAAGCCAAGTGCATGGAGGCCTGTCAAAGCTTTGCCAGCCTCATGTAGACTTCTAGAGCAAGTACTAGTCATGAGAAGTTTTCTGTTTAGCCAAATGGCCAATCTTCCTTTACACTCTTGCCTCACTCACTAAGCAGACGCAGACTGCTCCAGGACATGACCTCAGGCAAGGTGACTCTGGGTAGATGCCTACACACCACATGCCACCCTGGCACCACCATATACCTGTGGGGAGCAGCTCTTCCAGACCTCAGTGGGTCTCTCTCAGTTTAGCCCCATCAGGCCCCTAGGCTCCAAATGTCAGTTCCTTTTGAAAAGAAAATGACTTACCTGAGGAACGCAAGTCCTTTTCAGGCCTAGAAAGACATTAAGATGGAATCAAAGCCCTACTCCCCCATGGAATTGTGTGTTCACTCTGGACAGTGTTTGCTGTTGATTGCCACGACTAACTATAAACTAACCTAATTTGCACCTGGCGTATGCCTCGCACGCTATAGCTTCACAAGGTATAGGCGATCACTAATCAGTGTAATTTTGTAAACCTGTGAGCATTTCTGACGGACAACTTCGCGTCAGCCCACCTTTTCCACCTTTACAAAGGCAGCTGTTAACTGCTGCTAATCAGAGCGTGTATCCAGGGCAGCCTAAGACCGAGACCTCGGCGGCAGTTCTCAAAGTGCACCAGATAAACTCTGCTCTCAGTAGCTCTGCCTCTCTTTTGGCCTCTCGGCTCCCGCGGTCACCTCACAGTACTAGAAGGCAGCTGGCGTTCCTGTCTGGCCCAGAGCAGCAACGAGCTAACACGACCAGGGCGACCTGAGGAACTTGGGCCCAGCGAGTACTTAGGGTGAGGGTCGGCTGCAGGGAAGAGCGCGCGCGGCATGGCGCTGCCGTAAGACCCCAGAGGGCCTACGCCAAGGCCGCGGCTCCGCACCTCAGACCGTGGCCCATATCGGCCCCGCCCAGAGCCTCTCAGGAGGACGCTCTCGCGCCTTATCCAATTGGATCCCCGAGCGGCCTGACGTGTCCTCTGAGCCAATGGTCGTAAGCCTCAGTGTTGCTGGGCGGGGCCGGACTCCAGGACCCCTCCCGGGTCCGATCTCATCGCGCACGCGCGCTCTCCACTGCCCTACCCGCGCGCACACCCGCCCAGCGTAGGGCGGTCGGGCGGCGGCGACCCTGGAGAGCCGTCTGCACCCAAGCTCGTAGGTTCCCCTGGGCCGCGCCCCTGCCCGACCGTCTTCTGTTCCCAGCCGGGCGGATGTGTGTTGTCGGGGTGAGGGGAACTACGTAGTTGCCGCCCGCGCTACAGCCGCTCTGCCGGACCCTGCCTGGGGCCAACCCGCCTGACCATGGCTGACCGAGGGTGCCCGCTGGAGGCGGTGCCGCTGCCCGCTGAGGTGCGGGAGAGCCTGGCGGAGCTGGAGTTGGAGCTGTCTGAAGGTGAGCGGCCCTCACCCCGGGAGCCCACCCCAGGCCCCGGTGCTCGCTCCCTTACCCCCGTTTTCTAGAGACCTTATCCCAACCCTTACCCCCTCCTCGAGCCGTGGGTTTCCGCTCTGGAGGGTTCTGACTAGGTGGTTTGGCCTCAGGCGCAGGAAGAGAATCACCATTTTTTGCTTTGATCCTTGCTTGTCCCAAGGCTGCAAATGTCTGCAGGCGGTTGCATCCTGAGAGCCCTATCCCGGTCCTGAAACTCGGGGTGAGGTGCTACACCACGTGACTAAGTTTCTTCATAAAATGGGGTCTTTAACTTTTCTCGGCAGGTTGTTATGAGGCCAACATACTTTTAATACATTCAAAGCACTTAACACTTAGGAGGTTATTAGCCCACTTTGTGGGATTTTTAAAAGTTAAAAAAAATTCCAGTAAATGGTTGTTTGATTGCTAAATATAGACTGGAGTAATATGGCTTCAGTGATGGTGAGTAATATTTCCCATTTTGATATTATTCCTCCCCAAAGCCTATGTCCTGTTGTTACTTCAACTGCCATTGGGAAAGAGTAAGTTTTCCCCTAGTATCCGGTAAGCCTTGCAGCCCTTGAAGAAAAGTATCTAAATGTTTCTTAACTCTTTTTGAGACTTAAAAGCATTTTCAGCTTTTAGAATCCTTTTTAAAAATAATGTTACTATTCTAACTTTAACTTTCACATTGATAATGTTTTGCTGGGGCTGGGTTAGTGAATTCTTGAAACAAATCTGATTAAACATGCACTCACATATAGTAACACATTTAATCCCCATCAACGTTAGGTATTCAACATTTAAACTAAATTTCTGTGATATGTGGCACATTTTAATAAATGAAACTGCAATAAGAAACAGTGAGTTTGAGAATTCTTGGTGATTAGGTGATCTTGGGAAGTATGAAAAACTCAACGGTTCTGACTGGGGCTAACATACTGCATTTGTTAAGGCTCTTCGTCTAGGGAAAATAAGGTAGATGCTATTTAGATATGCACTTTCAAATACGCTTTGCAAATTGCTCCTAATTTCTTCTCCAGTGTATTCATTATTCCCTAAACTTGTTGTCTGGTGGCTGTATGTTTGATTGCTTGGAGGAATTGACCATTAAATCATTTGGATCCATTCCTCAAAGAACGTCAGACTTTGTGTGACAGAACACAAGTATTTTAATGAAAGTACTTTTCTCTTGACCCCATTTATACTATTTTATACTTTATTTTATACTATTGTCATTTCATTTTATTTTATGTTGTGTAAAAATATTTTTTTTGACAGAGTCTCACTTTGTTGCCCTCAGTAGAGTGCTGTGGCATCAGTCATAGCTCATTGCAACCTCAAACTCTTGGGCTGAAGTGATTCTCTTGCCTCAGCCTCCCAAGTAGCTGGGACTTCAGGCACTTGCCACAACACCCAGCTATTTTTAGAGGCGAGGTCTGGCTCTGGCTCAGGCTGGTCTGGAGCCCGTGAGCTCAGGCCAATTACCTGACTTGGTCTCCCAGAGTGCTGGGATTACAGGCATGAGCCACCACGCCTAGCAGATTTTACATTTATTTTTTAGTATTTTTTTACTGGGTATCAGGCACTGTTGTAGTCAGT